CTGAACAGTGATAACAGATTAGATATTCTAAATGTTTGGCCCATATAAGAAGTCAGCACAAAGACTTTTTTTGACATGAGTTTGTAGCTAATGCAAATGATTACCATATTCTGCAGAGTGAGTCCATCATATTTGTTTTGTGAAATTCTGTGTTTCTGAGGAAACAACTTAATTGGAAAAAGTGAAAGAGGGAAAAGAGAGAAAGAAGGACGAGACAGAGGGAGGGAGAGAGAATGAGAAAGGGCTGAGCAGCACAGGAGCTATAGCCACAGGGACCTCACTCCTCAGATCAACATATGTGGTGACGAATGACAAATTTATTTTTCTACAAAGTTTGTGTATATGTAAAACTGCTGAAGTGCATCAAGATGTCAAGTGCTTTTTGTGACCACCCAGGTTGCCTTGAAAGATAACCAGATGAAAGCATAACTTTAGCACTGGACAGAGCACTGTGCTTTGCAGGAAAAGAGCTTACATACTTTAGCGTCAGTTAAAATAGGATTTTTCCTACATCAATCAGATGCTAATAATCATTCTAAATACTTGTTCTGAAAGTGGGTTGTACTAACAAAAAGTTGTTGCATACTTACATCCACCAACAGGGTTAATTTAGTGACTTGACTGATACATATGTTGTTGATGCCTATACTAGGATTTCCTGAAGGTATTAATTAAGTAAAAGTCGGATCCCTCTTTTTGAGAAGATGGCCTACAGGATTTTCATATAGTTTCATAGTCTTATACATTCTAAAATACAAATAATTAAAATAAAAACTTATTTGGGTTTTCTATTTTACTTGTGAGACCCCTATATTCACAATAATATTTATTGCAAAAGAAAGAAAAAAATAGAAAATATGGAAGCTATGTTTAGCTATGCTTAGCCTGGAGGATTAAACAAAGAATCGGAAATTAACGGGCCCCCAAACCCAAGGTCTCTGGCAATGATTCACTGTGCATTTGTTAAAAAGTCAAATAATTACTCTTCCTCCATTAGGAAGCGCTAATTGTTTCTGAACACCAATACAAAGGCATTTAAGGAAACTGCTGACTACAAAAATAATTTTATCCCTTGTCCTGCACAAATGAGAAATATTATTAGTGATTTAAGATAGCAAGTATCTTTTCTTGAATTGAAATTTTAGCAGTACATGCTAACCGAGAAGACTGAGAAATTATACAACAGTTTTTTTCATGAGTTAGTTAGCTCCAGAAATTCATTTATTGTTCTGTCTATTTTTGCAAAGACAAAAACTCTAGCAGATCCTTGGTTAACTCTTTTGAAGACTGTGGTTTGCCCACCAGTTGTGACTCTGTCAGAACTTCCACTGACTCCTTTAGGAACAAACAAAAGCAGACCTGATCCTTTCTTGAAACAGAATAATAACAGTATCTGTTAGGATTGTGTGGAGGGCATAATGTTTCACAGTCTATGAGATTAGAACTTCCCTGCTTCATCCCAGGTGACTGTTCTCATTATTTCTCATCTGATCTTTACTCTAAGCCTCGGTTTAAGTGATTACTGACAGAGATACTGGAGTTAAGTGACTTAATGACGTATCTTCAATCAATATGAATTTTAAGTTTCCCAAAGTCATAAGAGAAGACTGTCTAATGTTTACTATTAATATAGCTAGTAAAGAAAGGCACGGCTGATTCATCCCTTTAGGCATGAGCAGAAACTTGATCCATGCCAGTGGAAGTGACATATTCTGAGGAACAAACCCGTGCCACAGCCACGGTGCGTTCTGCTATCCAAGGACATCAGGCAGATTTTGGACTATGTGCTCTCCATTATTTTCATTTGAAGAAATGGGTTCCAGATGATTGTGGGTGAATTCAGATCCAGGCCCAGATCTGAACCCAGGCATTGCCAGAACAGATGCTTGATATTAATTCTTAAACTCCGAACAGGAGCACCCCAGCCCAAAATGCTGGAAATCTAAGAAATTCTGCAACCCACACAACACTTCCAGAAGTTCTAACAGACCTGACTAATAGTCACAGTCAGCATAGTCAACCTGCAGAAAAATAGTAGGTGGCTCTTAATGTTGCTACTGCTAACAACAGAATCGAGGAGATTAACACAGGCACTGCCTGTGTGCAGGTACGTGCAATGTGTGAGTATGAGAGGAGAGCCACTACTCGCTTGAAAACCAGTAGGAAATGATGTGAGCTACCCCTGATCTTACTACGTTTTGAAACAATCGGTCTGGAATCACCTCTCTGATTTAGTTTTCACTGAGAGTTGAGAAGAGCGAGGAGAATGTGTTTTGAACATCTGAATTTGTGAACAAATTCACATCTAGCCATCAAAAGTGCAAATTAGAAAAAACCAGGCAAACAAGGAAAATGCTTCTTTTACACACTACTGAA